GTCCCGATCAGCGCGTTTACGGCTTGTGAGCGCGGCACCGGAAGGCGCATCCGAAAACTCCGAACGCCGGCTATGCGCGCCAGTCACGAGATCGCGTCAAAACTGCACAGTTTTCCCTTCAACACAGGGTTAGGGTCAGCCCCGTCTCACCTATATAACCGGGCGCTTGTTCATTCGTGTTTCCTCAGAACATACTCAGCTAGGATCTATTCTATAGAAACTAACTCGAGTCTTGCATGTTTACACATGCCACATCCTTCGAATCCAGTCGATGACACTAGCGCGCGCTCGTTTAACCGAGAACATATCGCCCTTCGGGGTGTCGAGGACGTTAGGCTCGGTCGGCGCGTCTTGCCTTCGGGCGAGCGCACTGCCTTGCCTGCGAGTCGCGCGTCTGTCTGATGGATTACCCTCTTTAGAGGTTCTTTGGATGGTTGGCGTTGTTGCATGCCTTGGGTGTAAGCCCGAGGTTCTTCTCTTGTACAATGAAAATGTTGTCCAAATTATTCTTTCCGCGTGAACTACTATGGGTCGAGTCGCGGCTCAATTCTTGGTGAAGGTATCCAGCGCCAGTGATGGAGCTGAAGGTAATATGCTGAATCTTTGAAGTGACTGGTGCTGCCTGGCCCTCGGTGATGATTGGATATATTCCGAAGGTACAAGTACACATAGAGTGATAGCACATTCAGAACAACAAAGCAAGTACAGATATCCAAAAGATCTCGTTTCGACAACCTCTCTCCCGAAAGCATCGACTACGCGTTGGTAGACTGCTCGACCAGCTTCAAGTGCTGGATGCCACAGACGCCCTGAGTCCAATTACTCTTCAGTCGATATTTGGACGTCAATTGACATCCTGGCGCGACACAGTGCGGTGTCATCTTCCGCGACGGAGCATCGACGTCCATTCCTGTAGATATGGGGGCACTGGGCGCGGATTGAGCGGTAGGAAGAGCATTGACAGGTACAGAGAAGGATAGGACCATCACCGGCCCGGTAGCGGGATGCGCAGGAGGCTCGTCGACAGCTGACGCCGGTATGGCAGCAGCAGGGACGCCAGCTTCAGGTATTGGCATGGCCGCTGGGCGGGAAGTAGATATCCACCGGTACATTGTGGGTACCTCAACTGGTCGAGGAGGCGCAGACATACTGCCTTCCTCTTCGACATCAGGCGTACCGGCGTTTGTCTGCGAAAGCGGTGTGCGATCATCCGCCGTCGCAAGTGCATTGCGCTTATTTCTTGGACGAGACTGCTTCTTCAGAAGTCTGTTGATGGTGTCCATCTACAGCAGAGATATGAACATCTGAGCCCTTATGGAATGGGACAACAATCACCTTCTCGTCCTCCAGCCTCTTCTCGCTCATATGCTTGCGCTTGCGTGCAGTCTCCTCTCGCTTCAGAGCCTCTTCGACTTCATTGAGTTGCTTCTTCTTGCGTCCAGAAGCAGCTACATAGACACTTCATCAGTGTCTGTGTCTGCGGAGATATAACAGATACATACATTCAAGAGAAACAAGTTGCGTCTCCCCCGCGCTGGCCAATGCGGCCTGGCGTGCAGTAAGCTGACGGGAGCTCTGTCCAGGCAAGACCTCCGAATCGTCTTCTTCCTCGTCGTCTTCCCCTTCGGCGTCTTCATCCTCGGATTCGATATCACGAGACGGTGGTTCGGAGCCTTCCAGTGGACTCTCGATAATGCGGGTATTGCGACGCGTCCGTGGCGATTTCTGGGGTTGTGGCGCCGGAGGTTTCAGTGTAATCTTGAGTCCACTACTCTTTGCAACAGGCTTCTTGCCCTTGTGAGCCAGAGCCGGCGGTGGTGTATCCTCAGCAGCGTCCGATACGTCGTAGGCGGCATCTACCTATTTCGTGTGATTAGCAAAAGAATCATAGAATATACGGGTGGACTCACATCGTTCTGCTCGTCGTCAAACTCGCCATCCAGCTCTCCCTCAGCATCTTCATCATCTTCGCCTTCGGCATCAATATCCATGTCCTCTTCACTTTCTACGTCCTGTGCTGCGCCACGAGACTGACTAGGACCGGCTCTAGATTCGGGTGTAGATTCATCCTCAGGCGTAGACTCTATGATGGCGCGCGGCATAGCCTAGCGATGTATAGCGTGATGCGATAGTTAGGCAACAGTCGGTAGTGCCCCCAAACAGGTTGACTCAATAGCGGTGATAGTTCTGAAGCAACTTACGGCGAAGCTCTCGGCGTCCCGCCCGCGCAACCGCTAAACGCGTCCTGACACGCTCACGTGAGTTCCCATCAATATTCTTCTTTGAGCCTCGATATTGCGGCAAGGCACGAGCCAGCTACACTGCTCTGGGACATGAGATTAGACGGTGAGCTCATGTAAAGGCTTGCGTTTGCAAGAGTTTCTCTGTGTCGTGTGATCTCGATCGTGGCGATGACAATGGACACGACTATATACTATGATACATATGCAATCATGTACATGCGAGGTACTCTACATGGGCCTCATGCGCCGTCCGCCCGACGAAAATCTGACAGATACGTCAGCTTATTGCAGAGCTAATAGTATAACAGAGCACACCTATCGGTGAACGGAAGTTATGCACGAAGTGCGATACGCGGGGCTTCTTGGGGGCGATCCGTATCCGCGAAGTTGCCGACTGGGCCTGCCCGCGTTCGGCGAACGAAAGGTCGTCGACCTCTTGTATGGGTTCAGGCATCCGGCGATTTGGCTGCAGTCGATCTCCGGGATATGGAGAGTTCGGTAGCTGAATGGTTCCATGCCCTGGATGGCTATCCGAGTCCAAGGACGCCTGCTTCGATAATAGTAAAGAGTCACTATTCCGCCACTGATTTCCCTGGCCCTGCGACATGTCTGAAAGAGAGATACCATCCTTAGGCATGTCCCTATCGTCCCGATAGAGCTCTTGCTCTTGCTCTTGTGATATGAAAGTGATCTGGGCAAGCTTTGCATCTCCGCTGTAGATGCCGCGGCTATGGGCCACGTCTCGAGCGATCTCCCCTTCGATGGAGCGCGGAAAGAATATCTGAGCGGGTCGGTGAGCCTATGTCAATGAGTACTGAGGGACGAAGACTCGCTGTGAGGGTGATGCCAGAAGATACCACAATCCCGACACCGGCTATAATCGCCAGGAAGTCTGTACCAAAACTGCAGAAATATTAGTGATGAGTAGGAGCCATGAACATCAAGAAGCTGACTTGTTTTCTGCAATGTGTTGGTGGGACAAGCCGTCGCAGGCCAAGATGAGAATCGGAAGTCCAACCATCGTGCGGAAGAACAATCGTATTTTCTAGGTAAAGGGTCCCTCGACGTCAACCATCCGCGCTTACAGGAGCAAGTGTAGACTCACGTTCATCTCGTGGAACTTCGTGAGCCGCGATAGCGTCTGCATATCGACGTTGTCCTTGCGCTATGTGCGACAGTCAGATGAAACGATGATGGGTGATGCTGTGGAGCGTTCTCACCAGTCCGTACAAGAACCTTGGAAACTTCCACCTGTATACCCATACCCATCATCAGTACTTCCGTATTCTATATTGTCATACAGTCACGCTTACAGCACGGGCAGGAAGGCGAGTGTGTTTAGCGTGATAGCTACTCCACTAGAGAGAAAAGTGGATGCCTCGTTCTGATCTTCTGCGTGAGCGGATAACGTTTGACGAACAAACGAAAGACGTACCCTCGAAACATCGTCTCGTGTCAAAAGAGTGACGAGTGGTGGGTAGAAGAACGCTATGATTGAGCCGCAAACCCAGATCTTGAAGTACACGCTCTTGAACCACTCCTTCTGCGCAGGACCTGACGAGACAACGTAGTGCCAGAAGCAAGTTTCCTCGAGATGAGAGATGCTACAGAGGTGCTGATTAGAGCAAGGATCATGATCATCAGTCGCACACTCACATCTCGAAGGAAGATGCGAAGGCGAAGCAAAAGTTTAGCGGTAAGATGGCGGCTCGGTGACCGGGCGTCCAGCGAGTGTACGGCTTCGCGACAACTGGAGATGAAAGTCGCATCAGTGATACACTGTCGTACAAGCATGAGTGTGCGCACCTCCATAGCCGGGGATACTCACGTATCCCTCATCATACTTGATGATCGTACTGACGATCGAGTATACGAAAAAGAGCGGTAGAGCCAATAGATATGAATACTATGGCAAGATTAGCCGCCATACCGTGCCGTAGACGGGCCCCCTTACTGTCATGACCCGCTTGAACGCCCCTTGCGAGCCCTGGTTCCACCTGCGCATGTGGAAATCAAAAAGATCGACCGAGGCTTTGATGAATTGGACGAACCTCAAGCACCGGAAGCGGTCGAAGGCCCACAGGTGCGAAGCGAAGAAAGCTCCAAGCTGGCAGCGCGCATACTTGGGTCAAGAGCCACTCCCAATCGTGATAAATCACATGCGACGTACGAGAGCGGCGAGTATGGTCCATATAAGCAATACAGGGGGATTCAGGTGGGACATGACTGGGTCGTGAAGCTTGAAGAGTGGCAATGGGCCGGGAGAACGAACGACGGGCGGAAAGGCGCATACCGTATCGAAACACTATCCTTATATACGACCGGGCGCTTTCAATCGTTGTAGGCCGGATGCGCGCACAATACAGCGGATCCAGAGTCGATCAACGGTCCCATCATCTTCTCCGGCGTTCCGAGCCAACCATCGTGTGGATCGCTCACAGCTTCAACAGCCGAAACTTGCACGGCGATGATATAGCGCGAGCGCTATTAGTCTATCTCCAAGTGTACTGCTTGGCCAATATAGAGGTGCACCCGGTGTGATTGGGTGCGCATAGCGCGATGCCGCTCAGTGGTCACCGTGGTAGTCCAACATCAACGCCGCGCGGAATCGCCTTGCCGCTGACGCCCGACGCGTCACCGATCCTTGACCACATGCCGCCGCTAGAGAGTGGATTGACATTTCCAATCTTCAGGAGGGACATATGCGCTTCTATGCAAAAGCAGTAGTACGCTTCCCTCTCTCTCTATAATATCTTCATGGGCCTCGTCGATGCCAAAACGTGATCCCCGAGGAGCCCGTTCCATATCATGTACGCCGGCGCGACCAGAAGCGCCTAAGACCTCTTGTACTCCGTTCGCATCGGAGCGTTCTGGCCAGGTGCAATCCGATGAGACAGTGCTGTCGGTTTTCACGGTTATTTGCACGAACACCGGATCGGGTTGTTATCCAAGCGGTAGACGTCCGACTCGCCCTCGCCGTTGAACAGTCGCGGACGACTAGCCGTTCTCCGGACAGCATCTATACCACTGAAGTACTGGGCATGGCGAGGAAAGCGCTGGCCGATACATCGGGGGTGTAGGGCAGGATAAGGCAGCTAACCAATAGCGACAACATGAACCCACAAAGTACCCAACCTGATATGTGCGTCAAAGGCACCCGCTGGCGAGTGTACCTGCGGCCCCTGTGCAGGAACAGAGGCCGCAGCTGGGGGTTCAAGGGAGTTCATCGGTGAAAGGGATGTCGTTTCGCGTACAATATAATGAGGGCGAATGAATACGAAGGAATAACGATAAGTGATGTAGTGTAGCAAGGGGTAGATTGGCGGCAGGTTGAAAGGCGGAAGGACAAAGCAGCCACCACAAGATAAGTTAGGCATGCCATGGCAGTAGCACACACAATATTGTATAATACACATCATGACCACTTTAGCAACGTGGGTCCGCAGGCAACAATCTTCTCTGCTTGGAGCGTTCCATTATACTTGACGTCGGAAATCTGCCGTTGGAGCGTCAGTGAAAGAATGGTGATGTGTGTGCGCTCTGTGATACGTACCTATCGGCGAACGGAAGGACTGCACAAAGTGGGACATCTGCGTCATCCGGGGTTTGCGCTTGTTGTGCCTCTCAAGGTTGCCGTATGTGAGCGCGGTTCCCGTCCCTGCTCCAGTCGTCTGAGAACGAAGATTTTGGTATCCATTCTCGACGTCTGACGCGCCAGCCGGTCCATACATGTCGTCAGGCGCGCGGCGATTAGGCTCAAGCTTGAAAGGTTGCCATTGACCTCCTTGGCTGAACGTGCCGGAGTACAGGGATGTGGGCGGTGGTGAGGGTGCTGGCGAGCTCGATAGCGCGATTTCGGGTCTTTGCAGCTTCCATTGTGCCGAAGGTGCAGCGGCGATGCTCTCTGCGAGCGACATCGCCTCGTCGTCCTTATCATCCTCTCCTGGTACACCTCTTGCGCCGGAGATGTACGTCCCATACATCTCCTGCTCCTGAGAGATGAAGGTCAGATTACGGCCACCGCGGGTGCTGAAGATGCCCCGATTGTGTGATGTTTCGCGTTCGATCTCTAGTTCAATTGAGCGAGGGAAGAAGATCTGTACGGCGGGCGGTCAGGGCATGATCAGAATGAAGGGCTCTGATGTTGGGCGCGACGCACAGTGAGTGTGATGCCGCTGGACACGACGAGGCCTACGGCGGCGATGATAGCGAGGAAGTCTGACCTACGGTAAGTACGCCGATGTAGCCACGACGAATGGAAAGCTTACCAGTTGCGAACCTGGTGGGCAAAGAACGCACGATCAGTCCACAGTTGGCAACAAAGAAGACTGCTGGGTACGAACATGTTCTCGTTCACGTGCTGATGCGGGCGCAGACCGTCGCAGGCTAGGATGAACAAGGGTACGACGAATAGACAGCGGAAAAAGACACGGAAGGTCTACAAGTAGAGGATGTCAGAGGCGCGCATCGCGTTGCGAGGGAGGAACGTACATTGAGCTCATGGAATTTAGTCAACCGCACGACCGTGGACATGTCCACGCCGTCCTTTCTCTGCAATAGGGGTTCAGGGCCGGCGCCACAACACATGCTCTCATCAGATCACTGACCAGCCCTCGCAAGAATGACGGGAACCTGTACCTGCATTCGCGCGTCAGCTCTAGCTCGTCCCAGCGAATCCAAGTTCACGGAGACGCACAGTACGGGGAAAAAGCCGATGGTGATGATCGCGCTGCCAATCCCGCCAGAAAAGAAGATGACAGCCTCATTCTGTACAGTGACGCCGGGTCAGCAGGCTGCGCAAGTTCTCGCGAGATAGGAGTACGTGCCCGAAGGGGATTCTCTCGAGTAAAGATAGCAGCAAGCGGCATGTACAGCAGCGCTGATACAGATCCGGCCGCCCAAGTCTTGAAGTAGGTCGAGTTGAACCACTCGCTATGAGAAGGTCCGGAGTTGACGATGTACATCCAGAACATGAGTTCTTCCAAGTGCGAAACACTGTTGTGAAGATTGCAGACAAATGAGCGGGTGTCTCTAGGTGGTGAACTAAGCGCTCACATCTCTAAAGACCATGCAATCGAGAAAATGATGTTCAATGGCAGAATGCATGTCCTGTGGAAGGGTGTCCACAACTGGTACGGGTTGGGAATGACTGGGAAGTGATGGCCCGCGGTTAACAGCTGGTTGGCAGTTGCCATCAAGACGAGCGCGCACCACCGTAGACAGGGAGTTCAATCAGTCCCTCCTGGTACTTGAGCGCGCAGAATCCCAGGGAGTATATGAATATTAGCGGTATACTCGCTGTATACGAATACTGGGGGCACAGGCTGTCAGTTAGGCGCGTTCAAGGCAAAGGGAGATGGATGGCGCACTGTCATGACGCGCTTGAAAGCGCCTTGAGAGCCTTGATTCCATCGCAGGCACTTGAAGCGGTCAAAAGCCCAGAGATGGCTGATCAGGAATACGCCGAGCTGGGAGATGAGATGCACTTGATGAGCGACAGTGAGTGCGCGAGAAGGCGGTGACGCACCAGAGCAGAGAGCACGGTCCAGACGAGCAACACGGCGGGACTTAGATGCGTCATTTCCGAGTCCTGAACAGGGGACAGAGAAGGTGGACCGCGCAGGGGACGGAGAGAGGAGCCCGCAAGCAAACGGACACGATCGTCTCAACGCTCTAAGGCTATATACGGTACGGTGCCGCACTGACCGCGAGGTCCATATGTACTCGATTTCGTGTGCGTTCAGGGCAGTTTGATGCCAGGAATCAACCGAAACCAGGCAGAGCTCCCGAAGACGCGCGGATCAAGAGCCATCACTCCTTCCCTCCAACGGCACCCTGTCGCTCCAGCCCATGTCCAACTTGTACGAGAGGCGGTGCTGTTAGCCTATGCTCAGAGGGCACCCGGGCCGAGTCCTCGACAGCGCAGTTTGTTCATCATCACGACAGGAGAGTTCCGACGGTCAGATCTCGGAAAATGCGACAAGTGCAAGCGCGCCTCGTGGGCGCATCTGAGATGATGCAGTCGATCTGAACCATCAATGGCTTTTTCGCCAAATATTCCGTTTCATTGACTTGATCGCAAACCACCACGACCATCTTCGCCTTTTGCTAGCTTTATGGCCGAGAACGCCACCAACATGTCAGCACCAACCGACGAGGAGCTTGAGGACGTCGTCTACGCCGCTCGCTACGGCGATCTCGACGACGTGCGAGCTTTCATCGACACTTTCGGGGCATCCGCCGTCGCCGCTGCGCATGACGAAAGTGGAAATACGGTCCTACATATGGCTGCAGCCAATGGGCACACGGGTGAGTGTCCATCTCACGCAAAGTTCAGGACGCTCTGATCCACGAAGACTGCCACAGAGATACTTGACTATATAATCCCATTGGTACCGACATCGTTGCTGTCCGTTCAGAACGCGGCTGGCTCGACTGCGCTGCACTGGGCAGCGCTCAACAGCCATCTCGAGGCCGCCAAGCGACTGGTGGACGCGCCTGGAGGTCCTGGCGTCTCGCTCATCGACACTCGCAATGCGGCAGGCCGTTCACCGCTTGGCGAGGCTGAAAACGCAGGGTGGGAAGAAGGCGCCAAGTGGATGGTCGAGATCATGTCTCTCGACGAAAATGCGGCCAAAGGCGAGGGAGAAGGCGACGCGACCGTGGATCCCGCCGCGTTACGCGATGTCGAAATTGAGATTGAGGATGCAGACGGACAAGTCGCGAAGATGTCCCTCGGGTCGGACGCGCCACCTGCCGTGCAAGAGCATGGCGACGCCACCTCGGAGTCAGCATAATACACCTTGTAGACGTATGTGCTCCCCTTTGCTCGGTTCACTGCACCAAGTTGATCCCTCTAGTAGGCATACTCATGTAGCATAAAAATGCGCTTTTGCGCACCTTCTGTACTTCCTGTACCCGTACCTGTCGCGTTGCTATCGATCTGTTCGTTTGCTGCTACCCAACGGAATGTACTTTCGAATCGAGGCTGTGGGAATACATGGGCGCTTACGAACTACACCTAGTGCACAAGTTCATCTGTGCTAGTGTACAGCCTCATGCCCGTCCTCCCTTGCCCACTTCCCCCCATGACTCCCTTCCTTAGTCGCCGCCGAGAACGGTCGTCCCCGTCTGCGACGACTTCCAAGGAGCCCTCGTCCTCCACTTCTGTGACGAGCATGTGTGACCTCTGGAATTTGGCCCTTGACCAATACGA